TCTTTTATGATTTACAACCATTTTTTTTTTGTTCCCACTGAGAACGATTCTTAAAAAAATTCAAGGCATTTTCTGCCCTCAGGAGTTGAGTTGATTTCTTTTTTTTTTTAATTATAGATAATTTAATGGGTCATGGGAATAATTTGAGAAAATAATATATGTATTTAATATAAGCTTATTTCATGGAAATAATATTATATTATATCAAAGAAAATGGTTGTTTTTTAATATGCTCTTATTATGGAAATTGATAATGTTTTATGGTGTCTTATGAAGAGAATTAACACTTGTTCAGGCTTTTGCTCAGACTACATTTAAAGTAGTTTTTGTTTTTTCATCACCAGCTTTTATTTCAGATGATTCATTGGCTAGGGGGTTGTCTATGAGTGATCTTATGCAGGGTAAGGAATTTGGGGGTTTAGGCCTTATGTCTGATTTCCTCTTTCAACGTTTTATTATTGAAATTTTCTCAAATAGGGAAAGTTGAAACAAATTTTACAGTCAATACCACATACCTACCACCAGATTTATCACATTTTTGTTTGTTAACATTATATTTATATTATTTGCTTTGTAACATGTTGTTTATTTGGCTTTATCATGTATTTCTTTAGCCATCTATCAATCCATCTACTTTTTCATGCATTGCCAAGTAGTTCGCAGGGCATAATTGCATTTCAACCCCTATACTTTTCATATGTATGTCATTAACTAGAATTTTCCATTTTTAGTTTAAAAGAAATTTAGGCGGGGCGCCGGCTAGTTTTTTGTATTTTTTAGTAGAGACGGGGTTTCACCGTGTCAGCCAGGATGGTCTCGATCTCCTGACCTCGTGATCCGCCTGTCTCGGCCTCCCAAAGTGCTGGGATTACAGGCTTGAGCCACCGCGTCCGGCCTATTTCCTTATTTTCTAACCAGCCCTCCTAGATGGGCTTTCCTCATTCTCTGGACTTACCACATACTCTGGATCTTCAGTCTTCACTATCATTTCTTCACTCTTCCTTTTCTCCATTTTGGGTCTTCTTCCCAGGATACAGGACTAATTTCAAAACAGAGTCATGTGTAACTTATGTCTCTTTCTTCATTCCTACTCTAGCAGTTTGTTTCAACAGGAAGGAATAGGGGACTTTTGTACTCTGGATTTCTTTCAGACTGGAAGACCAGGCCTGAGGTTAAATCATCACATCTGCAGCAGGATGTATCAGAAGTATCCCACTGCACACATGATCTCTCACATGCTACATTAGAAGACTCCTGGGATGTTAGCAGCCAGTTAAACAGGCAACAGGAAAACTGGAAAAGACATCTGGGATCAGAGGCATCCACCCAGAAGAAAATAATTACACCACAAGGAAGTTTTGAGCAAAGTAAATTTGGTGAAAACTCTAGATTGAACACCAATTTGGTTACACAACTGAACATTCCTGCAAGAATAAGGCCTAGTGAATGTGAGACCCCTGGAAGCAATTTGGAACATAATGCAGATTTACTTAATCAGAATAATATTCTTGCAAAAAAGAAACCCTATAAGTGTGATAAATGTAGAAAAGCCTTTATTCATAGATCATCACTTACTAAACATGAGAAAACTCATAAAGGAGACGGAGCTTTCCCTAATGGAACAGATCAGGGAATTTATCCCGGAAAGAAACACCATGAATGTACTGACTGTGGGAAAACCTTTCTCTGGAAGACACAGCTTACTGAGCATCAGAGAATTCACACGGGGGAGAAACCCTTTGAATGCAATGTGTGTGGAAAGGCCTTCAGGCATAGCTCATCTCTTGGTCAGCATGAGAATGCTCATACCGGAGAGAAACCCTATCAGTGTAGTCTCTGTGGGAAGGCCTTCCAGCGCAGCTCCTCCCTTGTTCAACACCAGCGAATTCACACTGGAGAGAAACCCTATCGATGTAATCTATGTGGGAGGTCCTTTAGGCATGGCACATCCCTCACTCAACATGAGGTCACACATAGTGGAGAGAAGCCCTTCCAGTGTAAGGAATGTGGGAAAGCCTTTAGTCGATGTTCTTCCCTAGTCCAACATGAGAGGACTCATACTGGAGAGAAACCTTTTGAATGTAGCATATGTGGGAGGGCTTTTGGTCAGAGCCCATCCCTTTATAAACATATGAGAATTCATAAGAGAGGCAAACCTTACCAAAGCAATAACTACAGCATAGATTTCAAGCACAGTTCATCTCTCACTCAAGATGAAAGCACTCTTACCGAAGTGAAATCCTATCATTGTAATGACTGTGGGGAAGACTTTAGTCACATTACAGACTTTACTGACCATCAGAGGATCCATACTGGAGAGAACCCCTATGATTGTGAGCAGGCTTTTAGTCAGCAAGCTATTTCTCATCCTGGAGAGAAACCCTATCAATGTAATGTATGTGGTAAAGCTTTCAAAAGAAGTACAAGTTTCATAGAGCATCACAGAATTCATACTGGAGAAAAACCTTATGAATGTAATGAGTGTGGAGAAGCCTTTAGTCGACGCTCATCGCTTACTCAACATGAGAGAACCCACACTGGAGAGAAACCCTATGAATGTATTGACTGTGGGAAAGCCTTTAGTCAAAGTTCATCCCTCATTCAGCATGAGAGAACTCATACTGGAGAGAAGCCCTATGAATGTAATGAATGTGGGAGAGCCTTTCGAAAGAAAACCAACCTGCATGATCATCAGAGAATTCATACTGGAGAAAAACCCTATTCTTGTAAGGAATGTGGGAAAAACTTCAGCCGAAGTTCAGCTCTTACTAAACACCAGAGAATTCATACTCGAAATAAACTCTAGGAACTGCGAAATTAAGGAATTTGCAGAATGCTTTAGCTAAAATGTTGTTCTGATTCAGGATCAGAGGATTCTTAGAGAGAGAGCTTGGGAATGTAATGAATTATGTGTGTGTTTATATGATGTGTGTGGAGAAAACTGCCAGTAAACAGATTTTTTTAATATAAATAAAAGACACATTCTCAGATCTGATTACAGACTAGTGTAAAAACAACTACCTATATCATATGTAGCTGATTGGGGATGAAATGCCCATATGTTGGACTTTATAAAGCTTTTGAATATATGTATGCAGGTGATCGTCAAGTTTCAACATCTTGGCTTATAACCCCCAATGTCAACAGCTTTTTAAAAAAATAAATTCCTGCAGTAATGACAAAAACTCATTTTAAAAATTGCTTGACAACTGCACTCAGCTGTAGCTCTTACGTTAACTTCACCGTGGAAACCAGTTCCAACTCCAGGAAGGCACCATTCAAAGAATTAGATCAACTAGCCCAACCACTTCATTGTACAGATGAAGAGACTGAAAGCCAAAGATGTGAAGTGGTTTCCACAGTATGATACAGCCCATAAAGGTAAAGCTGGGTTAAAAATGCAGGTTTCCTGGATTTGGGGCCCCATGGCCTTGCCAGTGAAAAGGTATTTTCAGACTCAGGGCTTTAAAATAAATTTTAAGATACATCAGATACACAAACATTTAATGAGCACCTATGGGTTGGACACTTTGGGAATTCTTGAAAGCATAAGTGGCAGCAAAATGTATGAGAATTTATCACAAACTATTTAAAGCAACTTCTTGGAGGCTTATAAACCACAATTTAACAGAAACTGTAGAGAGTTGAACTACTAGTGACTTTTTTCCCTTTTCCCAGTTACAATTATACTTTCAGCTAACATATACCAGTTTTACAGAACTATTAAGTCCTTTTATTGTACTTTTTATGGCATGCCCATGAAAAAGCACTGCCTTAAGCCTACAGTATCAGATCAATGGGAAAACAACATAAAACTAAGAGGAGAATTTTCCCCTGTTAATTTTATTGCAGAAAAGTATAAGTCTTAATTGCCCATTGCCATAATTTTTGTCTTTTACTCAGTTTAGAGAAACAACATGCACTGGCTCATTCTATGTGCAAAGAAAATATTTCACCATTAAAAAAATTAACTTGGCTAGATATGGTGGCTTCCACCTGTAATCCCAGCACTTTGGGTGGCTAAGGCAGATAGACTGCTTGAGCCCAGGAGTTCAAGACCAGCCTGGACAACATGGTGAAACCCCATCTCTTAAAAAAAAAAAAAAAATCCAAAAATTAACTGGGCTTGGTGGCATGTAGCTGTAGGCCCAGCTACTCAGGAGGCTGAGGTGGGAGGATCACTGGAACCCAGGAGTGGAGACTGCAGTGAGATGAGATCACACACTCCAGCCTGAGCAACAGAGCAAGACACACACACATACACACAACTTATTTTAGTTCTATAATGCTTTTCCATTAGTAAAGCATCAGCTAAGCTTCAGTGGTCTGCCCCATCCCCTAATGACTCCCATGGGCTATCCTAAAGGAATTTCCAGAACCTTTGTTGGTGTGTTGACATTGACCATGCAGACCAATTTGGGCGCAACTAGACATTGATTCCTTTTACACAAGAGCTGCCTCCCAAAGATAGATAAATTTTCCCAACCCTGATTATAAATTGTGGGGCAGGATGATATTGGTGGTATTGATGGTGAACCTTTCCTACTGGATTCTTTGCATGCCAGATAGCAGGATCCATTGCCTTTCTCTCATCATGGACAGCATGTGGCAGCACCCAAGTATTCTTCATTCTTTGCAGGAAAAAAAATGTGCATGGGGGCTAAATGTGGTATGTGTAGCTCAATTAGCCTATCCTCTGTGATGCAAAATGGAATATTCCATGGCAGATCTGCCCTTCTGAGATGTTGACCATCCAAAAAACCTTGTTTATGGTGCTCCATGATTAGCTCACACACAATGCCAAGGCCATGCTTGTATTGTCTGATACATAGTTTGACAATGGGTAATTCTACCCAGACCCTCCCTACTGATTGGCTAGGATGCCTGTCAGGAACTCATTTCGCTACTGGTTGTTTGGGGATCCCCATAGTGGACTACTTTCAGGAATGGCATGAATTGTAACAAACTGAGTGCTGCCCCCACTGTTAGGGAAGTTTATAAAAACTTAGTTCCGGAAGACCCAAAGGAGACCACTGGTTTGTGTTTGCAGCTTGGCCTAGATCCAACCACCACTCTCTGAACCTCAGCACATCTTCATTGACAGGGAGGGAGCCCAGGACATATGTGTGGCTCATTGACCAGAAGACTTTCTTAGTCCCAGCAGCCATGCATCATGCACTTATGGATACCCAGCTTTTTAGGGCTATGTGAAATGCATCTTTGTAACATCATTGTATTCTTTCAATAAATAACGTTCTGAGTTGAATGGGAGTCAGTTTGTCTTTTTCAATTTTCAGAACTTGGCTAAGATTAAAGAGTGGTGCACCAAGAAGGAGGAACTAACTGCTAAACTCATCACAGCCAGGTGAGTTAATAATAGCTACCATTTATTGAATGCTTACTACTTTAAAGACATTGTGCTAAGTGTTTCACATCTGTCATTTCATTCAATCCTTATAACTTCTGGTTAGCGGTGTGGTGGTAGCTCTTGTCTTTGCCCAGCATTTTCCCCCTTTTCCTCTTGTAACAATCTGTTGTATTGACTGTAGGAACCCAAGTCAGGATGTCCCTGGGGCTCACTGATAGTTCTAGGGGCAGGCATGAGACCTAGTTCAGCTAATCAGAGTCCTTTGCCAGAATTTTTTCAAAATAGAGCTGGAAGGAGCTCTATTTTGGTCTTTTGTGTTGCTAGGCCAAAAGATAAAGGCCTAGAGCTTCCTGGAACCTGATTTCTTACCGGAGATGGGAAGTAGGAGAGGACAAGGTTGACATGATGGTGTTCTTGTTTCTATTTCCTGATGTCCTTAGACCTGGCTCAATTTCTGAAGGTCTTGGGATTCAGGGATCTCCCCATCAGTCCCAACAATTTCTCCTTTTTGCTCAAGCTAATTTTTTATGTTTCTGTTGCTTGCATTAAAGAAACCTGAAATATGTATGATATACTCGTATCTGCCTGAGCATCTAGCACACCTCCATGGAAGATGAGAAAAGACTTCTGCACTTTTAGCCATATTGATGGTAGTGATGCTTGATTTTTCTATAGCTGCAATAGGCTTTTCATTTTGCAGTATTCTGACTTCAAGATTGAGCACTTTTTAAAAATACTAAGGTGGTTAGTTCCTACTCATCTGTTAACAATGCAAATGGTGCTTCAGGAAAGGTTTTTCTGACTCTCCTATTTCAATTACATTGGTCTCCCTTTTAAAAATTTTCATAGATTACTGTTAATGTCCTCCATGTTACCACAGTTTGTATTTGTGATTATTTGGTTTTATTTTTCCTACACTAGATGGTGAGTTCCAGGAAGGCAAGAGTCCATGTCTGTTTCGTTAGCTCTTTTTATTACCCTGCTAATTGATGCCAGGCATATGGTAGGTACTTAATACAGTGTTTTAAGTGAGCAATTGAGTGAAGATTGATTGCTAGACAAAAGAAGACTGGCAGGTACATGAAAAGATGCTCAATCTCAAAGTCAGAATATTACAAAATAAAACAATGTAGTACTGTTTCATACCAATTAGGGTGGCAAAAATTGAGAAATCTGGCAGAGGGGTATTAGAACTTTTATACACTGCTGGCAAGAGGATAACTTGGTATAATTATTTTGGGGAGTAATTTGGCAATATCAAGTAAAATCAAAGCTAAGCATATCTTATGTCTCAGCAATACCACTTGGAAGTATATACCCTAGACTAGAAATTCTCGCATGTGAGCAAAAGAGACACACACAAAGATGTTTATTGAGGGAGTGTTTTAAACAGTAAAAATATGAACACAATAGAAATATTGGGAAGTGAATAGGTTAACAATAAGTCATGGCATATTCTTTTTTTTTTTTTTTTTTTTGGAGACAGAGTCTCGCTCTGTCGCCTAGGCTGGAGTGCAGTGGCCAGATCTCAGCTCGCTGCAAGCTCCGCCTCCCGGGTTTACGCCATTCTCCTGCCTCAGCCTCCCAAGTAGCTGGGACTACAGGTGCCCGCCACCTCCCCCGGCTAGTTTTTTGTATTTTTTAGTAGAGACGGGGTTTCACCGGGTTAGCCAGGATGATCTGGATCTCCTGACCTCGTGATCCGCCCATCTCAGCCACCCAAAGTGCTGGGATTACAGGCTTGAGCCACCGCGCCTGGCCGACATATTCTTTTTGAGACAGGGTCTCACCTTGTCACCCAGGCTGGAGTGCGATGGTATGATCTCGGCTCACTGCAGCCTCCACCTCCCAGGTTCAAGTGATTCTCATGTTTCAGCCTCCTGAGTAGCTGGGACCACAGGTGTGCACCACCAAACCTGACTAATTTTTGCATTTTTAGTTGAGATGAGTTTTCACCATGTTGGCCAGGCTGGTCTCAAACTCCTGGCCTCAAGTGATCCACTGCCTTGGCCTCCCAAAGTGCTGGGTTACAGGTGTGAGCCACCATGCCCAGTCAATCATGGCATATTCTTATAATTTAACATACAGTTTTTAAATGAAGGAACCAGAGCATCTGGCAAAACAATAAACAAGAAAAGCCTAGAGCTGTCTGTTCCACTCCTATATCCATGCAGCTAAATGTGGCTGAAGAAAAACAGAACTATGACAATTAGTCCCACCTTTTTTTTGAGATGGGGTCTCGCTGTGTTGCCCAGGCTGGAGTGCAGTGGCATGATCTCAACTCACTGAAACCTCTACCTGCCAAGTTCAAGCAGTTCTCCTGCCTCAGCCTCCTGAGTAGCTGGGACTACATGTATGTACCACCATGCCCAGTTATTTTTTGTATTTTTAGTGGAGATGGGGTTTCACCATGTTGATCAGGCTGGTCTCAAACTCCTGACCTCATGATCTGCCCATGTCAGCCTCCCAAAGTGCTGGGATTACAGGTGTGAACTGCTGCGCTCAGCCTATTAGTCCCACTTTAATTTCTTGTATACTAACCTCCAGCATTTGTTTTCCTATCCAGTCATTGTCCCACTCATTTAAGTTGCTATTTTATGGCTTCTCTCTTTAAACTCTGCAGCACTTCACCCATTCCTCACTCAGCTGGTGACCTTATTTCCTAGTTAACTGAGAACAATAAAAGGAATCAGAAGAGGCCAGGTACAGAGGCTCACACCTTTAATCTCAACACTTTGGGAGGCCACGGTGGGCGAATTGCTTGAGCCCAGGAGTTTGAGACCAGTTGGGCAACATGGCAAAACTCTGTTTCTATCAAAAATGCAAAAAAAAAATTAGCCAATCTCATAACCTGGTCTCAAAAAAATAAATTAAAAAAAAAAAGGAATCAGAAGATAATTCCTCTTCTCTGTGCACCTTATTCTTGCATTCTTTCTGTTGCTATGGTTGACAGTTTGTTCTCTTATCTAAGATCAAGTCCTCCTCTAGTATATTAGATCCCATCCTTAAACTAGGGCATAATTCCTACAGTTGTTCTCTTTCCTGCATTTTTTTTTGGTCTGCTGGATCTTTCCCATTAGCATAATAACATGTATTTCTCATCTCAAATATATATATTTATGTATGTGTACATACATGTTATATATGTGTGTGTGTGTGTGTGTTCTATATCCCCCTCTACCTACCTAACACTCCATTTCTTGCATCACTTAATAGCAAGATTCCTCAGTAGAGGTGTGGAATACTCGTCTCTAATTCCTCTTCTTCCATTCACTCTTGCACCCACTCCAATCAGGTCTTGTGTCTGCTCTTGTCAGAGATCCCTGATGGGATTCCATGTGGCTAAATCCAGTGGTCTTTTTCAGTCCTATTGAGGCAGGGCAGATGAGCCCATACAGGTGTTTGGCTTCTCCCAGGAAAGAATTAAAAGGCAAGCCAGTGGTGTTAGCAAGTTTTACTGAACTGGAATTGCTCCTGTGAAGCACATCCAGCTCCTAAGCAGTGCACTCCAAATGAGCACTTGTGGACGGTTGGCTAGCTGTATTTATACCCATTTTTAATTACATGCAAATAAAGGGGAGGGTTATGCAGAAATCTCTGGAAAGGGGTGGTAATTTTCAGATTATTGTGACAGAAAGGTGGTAACTTCTTGGCCGTTGCCTTGGTATTTGTAAATGTCATGGTGCTGGTGGGAGTGTCTTACACTAATGAGCAATGAAAGAAGCTAGAGGTTGCTTTCAGCACTGTCTGCTGGTTCCCACCATTTCTTCACTTTATCCTGTTGGAACTGAAAAAGAAGTCCTGCTGGTCTCCTGCCTCACTTTTACTTGTTTTTTCAACATTATTGATACATTAGTTGATCACTTCCTCACAGTGACCCATTTTTTTTCACTTGGCTTCCAGGTTACACTTACTAGATTTTCTTATCCTTTATTGACAGCTACTTCTCCCAAGTTATCTTTCCTTGATCTAGGCATAGGAATTTCCCCAGGGCTCAGTTCTGTGAAAGGGCTGTCTATACAAAGCAACCCTCAAATGCTGAAGGAGCTGGGAAACCAAAGAATGAGGCAGACAAATCCAGTTTGTCGGTTTGGGTGATTTTTAGGGGGAACTTAGAGACAGAAGTGTGGTCTTGGGTGGCCAGAAGGTAGATCTTCACACCACACCCCATCAGGACAGGGCTTGTATCTTGGGGGAAGGTATACATGCTGTTGAAGGAATGTGCTGAGGGAATGCTCTGGGTATCAGCCTATGATTTCTGCAACAGCATCAAGGTTGTTTGAGGGAAAGGAAATAGGTGTTTCTACATAAAGAGTAATACATCAACTAGACATTTTAGAGGCATTCCCAGACTGAGGGTTAGTCAGAAGTCACGTGGTGGATTAGAATTTAAAATCACTTTTTTCCAAACTAGTCTTTATTAAACTCATTTGGAAGGCAAAAAAATAATAATAGTAAATAATAAAACTTAAACCTCTTGTCCCCACAGTGGTGCATAGGTATTTGTTGTATGTGCCTCTCTGAATGTTTAAACTCATTTACAGTTAAAGTTGACCTCCTTTTTCTTATCTGATCCCTCCTCCCACACAGCCACCTGCTTGGTACCCCTCAGGGCATAAGCCCTCTTGCTGTTATTTCTGAAATTATAAGTCGATGTTGTTATGGTTAGAGAAGTATAAATTCATTTTTTAAACACCGAATTCCTAAGAGGTGTGGTCATTGTGCAGTACAGTGGTTCTCGAAATTGAGCATTTATCACAATCAGTTGGACAGCTAGTTAAAGCACAGACACCAGGCTGGGTGTGATGGCTCATGCCTGAGATCCCAGCACTTTGGGAGCCCAACGCGTGAAAATCGCTTGAAGCCAAGAGTTTGAGACCAGCCTGAACAACAAAGCA